ACCTGCCTCTAATTCCGAACATTTCCCTTGTCACCAGATTTAAATAATGGCAAAACATAAGAGCTCTTCCATGCTTCAGGAAAGACTCCGGTTCCTAGCGATTTGTTAAAAATAAATAAAAGGGGGTCACATAATGATGGCGCAGTTCTGTTTAAGAATAAATTGGAGATACCATCCGGCCCAACGCCTTTCCGGCAATCGAATTTTTTTAAAGTTATGTACAAATTTTCATATGACACACGAATAGAGGACAAATCTACCGAATTTTTACCCGCTATTGAATCATCCACAATAATATCTGCTTCCCTTGAATTGGCATAAACCGATTCAAAATGAGATGCAAACAGATTCGCGATAGATAGGCCATCGTGACAAACTGTCCCCTCTAAAAAAACCGTCTTAGGAATATCACCTGTTCTCCTTTTACTTTTGACAAAACTCCAAAATTGTTTAGGGTTACATACCACATCACCTTTAACTCTATTAATATATGTGTCATAACAAATCCGGCTAAGATCTTTACATTGTTTTCTTAAATTTGAAAAGTTTTGATAATGTACTTGCATGTTAGTTTGTTTGAACAGCTTATGAGCTTGTTTCTTTAATACTGTTGAGCCTTTTAGATCACCATTAAACCAGATGGGAAACTTACTATACGTCCGCTTCCTAGGTACAAACAAATCAATTGCCTTAAAAACAATGTTATAAAAATAATTCACCATATCATTAACATTTGTTGGGTTTTGACAATTAAATCTTATTTTGTATTTTATAAATATCAAGTAGTTCTTATTTTATATTGTCATAGTAAAAAATAATAAATAAAACAGTTTGTTAATTTTTCTGTAAAAAAACTTTTAATAATAAAAGTTGGAATCAGATATAAAAGTATTATTTCAAGTTCCACGTTCCAACTAAAGTCTACAGGTTATGGGCCCAGGGCTACGCGGCAAATAAAAATTTAATTTTAATTCAATTAAAAAAAAAAACAGAACAATGGCAGAAGAAACAGAAAAATACAGAATCTCATTGTTGCAATTGGCCGAACACGAAAAAAAGAACCGAAAATGCAAATCACAAATCATTCAGCGGATCGCCGATAGTCATCTGGAGTATGCCAAGGATAAAATATCAGCATTTGATTTGTGGAGTACGCTTGAGAGTACGTTTCAACGAAAAGGAATTGCTAGTCAATTGCTTACTCGTAAGTCCCTTCTAAGTTTGAAATTCGATGCGAAAAATGATACTCTTGGTAATCATTTTTTGAAATTTGATAAAATGGTTAGAAATTTGCGATCAACGGGTGGAAAATTGGAAGAAATTGATATTGTCTGTCATCTTTTGCTGACAATGCCCCCCGAATATGACAATGTGGTAACAGCTATTGAAACTTTGTCAACAGAAAGTTTAACTGTCGCGTTTGTCAAAAACAGATTATTAGATGAAGAAAATAAAAAGAATGACCTGACGAATACTAGCGGCGGAGAACTTCCGTCATCGACGGCTTTCGCCACGCAGCAGAAAATGTATCCGAGACCTGGTCAAAAGCAAGTACAAGGAAGTTTATCGCAAAGGTTCCCTTTTAGTTGCAACTATTGTAAGAGACGAGATCATCGTTATAGCGAATGCAGAAAAAGGGCATATGACATGAAAAATAAAAATTCTCAGAGTGCAGGCGCTGCGACAGCACCAGAAAACGACTTGACAGGCAATCACACAAGCGACAAAGTGAAATGGTTTCTCGACTCGGGAGTAACGGAACATTTAATAAGCGAATCCGTTAAGCTATCCAAAACAAAGAAACTTGACGCACCAGTAAAAATTAAAGTCGCAAAATCTGGATCATTCCTGGAGGCCAAACTTACCGGGGAAATTCAACTCACAAGTATAGTAAATGGAAAGGAAAATATGATAACGGTAAAAGATATTCTGTCTGTACCAAAACTACATTACAATTTGTTGTCGGTAAGAAAGCTCGAAATGAATGGATTTCGTATAATTTTTGAAAATGGCCGTGGTTTAATAATGAAAGAAGACCAAATTATCGCAATTGCTATCAGAAATGAAATACAACTTTATGAACTGAATTTTAGAAAAGCTGTTGTTGCTAATCTAATCACGAAAAATGAAGAATATCAACTTTGGCACAAAAGGATGGGACATTTGAATTTTATGGACGTTAAGAAGATTCAGAGTCAAACCAGTGGAATGAAGATTGATTTTTCAAAAGAAACGAAGAAATTATGTCCAGTATGCATTGAAGGAAAACAACCTGCTCAGCCACACAATCAAGAGACAACGAGCAACAAGACCACTGCAGTTAGTGCATAGCGATCTCATTGGCCCCATTAATCCCATTTCTCATGATTTGAAGAAATATGTACTTACCTTTATTGATGACTACACACATTTTACTGCGAGTTACAATTTGAATTCTAAAAGTGAAGTTTTACATTTTTTAAAGATTTTTCAAGCAATGGCGACTGCTCATTTTAACATGAAAATAAGCCGGTTCAGATGTGATAATGGAAGAGAATATATTTCGAAAGAAATCAAAGAATTTTTTGAGAATTGCGGAGTACAGTTCGAATTCACAATTAGATACACCCCAGAGCAAAATGGAGTTGCGGAGAGAATGAATCGCACCATTTTAGACAAAGCTAGGTGCATGCTGTTGAATTGCAAACTCGGAAAAACATTTTGGTCAGAAGCGGTTCCAACTGCGGTCTATTTAATTAACAGGAGTCCGACTACGACTCTGAATGGCAAAATTCCGGCTGCATTTTGGTTCGGCGACAAACTCAATGTTAATAAATTGAAGATTTTTGGATGCATAGCCTATCTGAAAATTCCCAAACAAATTCTACAAGGAAAATTTGACTCAAGGTCAATTAAATGTTTCTTTATAGGATATTGCTCAAATGGATATAAATTTTGGAACCCAGAAGATCGAAAAATCATTTTTGGCAGAGATGCGATTTTTGACGAATCTCGGTTCTCTTTCGATGGTTTAAGCAGCGAGGAATGGATTCACAACAAAGATGACAAAGTCTCAAACAAAGAAGGTGATATTGTACTTGAACAAATACCAGAAAGGGAAGAGGATAAAGGAGAAGAGAATATGAAGAAATTTCAGAAAGCGAAAATACAAAGAAAACAGAAATTTTAGAAGACCAACAACAAGAATATGAAGAAATTTCCGAACGCGAAAATACAAAGAAAACAGAAATTTTAGAAGACCAACAACAAGAACAATTTCGAAAATCAAAAAGAAAAAAACCTATCTTGAAGACTATGCTATTTTGGCAATGCACGCAGAAACTTTCGTAGAAGATGTACCAAAGAATTTTGAGGATATTGCAACCCGTATAGACAAGGAGGAATGGATGCAGGCTGTAAAAGAAGAAATGGACGCGCAATCCCTTTCGAGTACAGAAGCTGAAAACATTGCTTTGGCGACAGCAGCAACAGAGCTGACATGGTTAAAAAATCTGCTGGTTGACCTCAATATCAGCAGCAAAATTCCACCTACAATTTATGAAGATAATCAGTCCTGTATTCACCTACTTTCAAAATGGGAACACAAGAGACTTAAACACGTCGACATAAAATACAATTTTGTTCGGGATTTGCACGAGAAGAAGTTAATAAAAGTGGTATATATCAACACTAAAGATCAACTGGCTGATATACTCACTAAGCCAATTCCGAAGACTCAATTTGTTAAGCTGCGTACGAATATGGGAATTCAAGAATAATAAAAATATGAAGATGTTAAATTGAGGGGGAGTGTTGGGTTTTGACAATTAAATCTTATTTTGTATTTTATAAATATCAAGTAGTTCTTATTTTATATTGTCATAGTAAAAAATAATAAATAAAACAGTTTGTTAATTTTGCTGTAAAAAAACTTTTAATAATAAAAGTTGGAATCAGATATAAAAGTATTATTTCAAGTTCCACGTTCCAACTAAAGTCTACAACATTATACAAAGAATACATTTCACACCAATTAACATTGAAAAAATAATTGTTTATTGATACATAATCTCCCTTAGCAAAACAATACTGTACATCATCCTTGATATCTAACATAACACAGGCCATATCTAAAGTAAAGCACAAAGCAGGATGATAATTATCACAGGGTACAAACCCTTCATCCTTTTTAATATCAATTTCAATATTTGAAAAACAAAGATCCAAATTGGAGTTTGATTCATTGACAATTAAATTTTTTTGTTTAAGACCCAAAAATGAAAAACCATCCAAAACACAACATTCCCTTTCTAACGCAAGGCCCACAGCCTCAATGTTAAGTGTGTCACTATCCCGATACCAATTTATACTAGGCAGGTTATAATCACACAAACACAATAATTGTGGAGTTTGGAAAATCACTGCAGATTCCCCTCACAGCCATTACATGATTTTCATATACCCTTAAGGGCGAACCTGATGGAATGTAGATACAGCCAAATATCACAGACCCCTTCAGAGATTTCACCTCCACAAACACCTGTTCCACCACTGAGTCCACCAAGGTGATCTGTCTACACTAGTAATCTTTCTTAATAGCAATTAAAACACCTCCACCGCTTTTAAAATTGCTTGTAGAACTGTTTCGATCACTTCTATATACCTGGTAGAGATCACCCACTACTTCACTGTCTTCAAAATCCGGGGTTAACCAGGATTCTGTGACACTAACCACATCAAAATCATTATTTGTAGGAGATATCAAAAACGTCTTTAACTTGGTCCTTAACCCTCTAACATTCTGGTAAAACACAGAAAAACTAGATTTATTGAAACTAACGATTTTTGGCACCCCATTTACGTATTTAATAGTTTTATCGCTGACGCCCTTAGATATCATCTACTCCAATTCTTTTTTAAGGTTTGCCAAATTTGTTCTTTGTATAGGTGTTAAGTCAGCCTTGAAATAGATAGTGCTTTCAGATCCCTTGTTACTTTTTAGAATTTTTAAGACTTCTTCAGCTGAGTTCAACACAACTTTTATGGGTCTACATTTACCTCTAATAAACTTTCCAATTCGAAAAGCCCTTACATTCTCACACTCGATCTGACTTCAAGATAAAATAGCCTCAATAACTTTCTTCTTATCATCACTTAGCCTCTCTTCGCTATGCTCTTTACTGGATTCCTCCACATTAAACACCATAATATTGTAAGCTCTTCGAGTACGATCATTAAATTCAGATAAAATCTTTTCCAAATCAACGTTATCTTTATTTAACCCAATTGAGGCCTCAAGACTCTCCACTCGCTCCGTTAATACCGTATTCTGTTGCTTAAGCTCAATATTTTCCTGTAGAATCTGATCCATTTTAGAGGTTATGTTATCCAGTTTGGATTCCAGAAGGTTTTTTAAATCATCTTTAATACCATTTTGGAATGGTATTAATAATTTTTCAAGTACGTTTTTAAGCATTACTTCATCCACAGCCCTATTTCCATCAGAAACCGATACACCCGATGCTCCAACCTCACTTCTGCAGGCGTGACAGCTCCACTCCAACCCATTTTTGATATCAGATGCCAATTTATTAAATTCCTCAGTCGTAAGATAAGTACATTTGCTATGTACCCACTCAAGACATTTGCAACAACGCACACTTGGTTGTGTTTTTGCAATATTTGCAGCACAAACTTTACACCTGTAAATAGCCGGCGCCATTTTTTATTTATTTATGATTGTCGGACTATAATGCCTTGCAATTATGGAAATTAAGTCACTTTCTGCCTAGGGAGGTTGTAAAAACCTAGCTTTGGCAACTAAAAAGTGATCGAAGTAGCTTCCCGATGAAGAATAGTATCTGCCAGCTTCGAGCTCCAATGTCGTTTGCTCTCTTAAAATGAAATAGTCAAAATTCTACTATTTGAATTAGTACCTACCAGCATTTTTTACTAATAAAATAGTCGTTTTTACTTTTAAATAGTTATTTTTTACGTAAATAGTTAAAGTGACTAATTTAAGATTAGTCACCATCTTTAACTATTTCTGAGAGTTAAAAGTAACTAATTTCTTTAATCGTTTGCGGCCAACAATAAAGTATTATTTGAATTAAATTCATATACCTAGGCTCCATGGTTAAATGGCCCATAAAAATAAACAAAGATGCAAAAAGTTTAGCTCAAAACAGCAACACAAATAATATATTCAACGTTAAAATATTATGAACAATATTTATTGACAAATAAAATTGATTTTTATAGCAGCGACTTATAGCCAAATGGGTTCCCAGATAGCACAAAGAAGTACTAAAAACGTCCTGAGTATATCTTGTATCAGACATTAGTAAGTTCCGAGTACGTCCGAATCAGGTCCTGAACCTTCCCCAGGACGTTCCAGGGACATCCGATGTTACCAAATCGTCGGTCCCCAGAACGTCCTAAGTAAGACATCCTCTGGCCATCCTGAAATGCTTTATTGGGGACTAATGGACAAGCTTTACAGAATTGAAGAGTGGTATTCCCAAAGGCCCAGACAGCAATATGACGTCTTAATTAAGTCTTATTTTATTAATTTGTTAAATGGATTTTATTAAAATCATTTTAATAATTTGCTCGTATTTGCTTATTTTAGGAATTGCGATTATTTCGTCTCATTTTTTTTAAATTTAAGCGTGCTCTTCACCGGCACCGATAGACGGCCTGTTTCCCTCTTTTGGAGCTCGTCAGTATCGGGTAGCCGTTTACCTAGGTCTAAGACCGTTTGGTATGAAGCACGCTCTAAATTCTACTTCGCCGCTTCTTATATCAAACACAAGCAGTTACAGCGGTGAGAAGAAAGAATCGCATTAAAATGTCATAAATGTGACGTCTCCATGTTGACGTCTTAAAGAGTTAATAATATGATTTCAGTAAGAAGAAAAGAGAATACTGTAAAATATCATATAACTAAAGTCTTATTTATGATACCTATAGGTATAGAGTAGCTTCTAATTTTGATTCCAATAAGGGGTCAGAAAAAAAGATACTTTAAGATGTTAAAAAATTTACTTCTTATTTATGAATTCATCAAGAACTCTTAATCTTGAGCTCCTAAAAATGATTTCTCTAAGATGTCATATCGATGACTTTCTGCCAAAGTATCGCAAGCAACATAACTCAAATTTCGGGAATTTAAAACATTTTTTGTTTTAAAGTCTGTTTTAAATTAAATATAGCATAAAGGTTTTATAACAAGTAAATAGCTATAATTATAAGCTAAGTAATTACTTGTTATAAAACCTTTAGGCTATATTTAATTTAAAACAGACAAGCAAAATGTTTTCAATTCCCGAAATTTGGGTTATGTTGCTTGCAATACTTTGGCAAAAAGTCATCGATATTGTGACCTCAGTAAGATGTTATTCAACAGACTTCTTACAGAAATCTTTCTGAATTGGATGCTGTCTGGGGGGTCTAAGTTACAAAAATAAAATTGTGAGTTATCAATGAAAAACAAATATTTTGCACATGTAAATGTTGAAACGTCTGAAACACGTTTGGAATTGCATATTCCGCTCTCCTGAAACCGTTAAACTCGCCTTCGGCTCGTGTGACAAACTCTTCACTCGAGCGGATATGCTGTATTCCAAACTTGTTACAGAATATACTATTAAGTCATTCTGCATGACACAAACTATTTTCAAATTATAATATATTATTTAGACCCTTTGGAAATACAATGCTTCAATTACGTCCTTGGGACGTACCCAGTATATCCGCTATAATTTTCCCAAATAAGTAAGAGACTGGACGTACCCAAAACTTCCGATATAGGTCTAGGACGTTCGGACCTATGTGGGACCCGAAATGGACGCCCTGGGTACCTCTTGTGCTATCTGGGTTATGACAACAGCTTAACAAGCGACAGTTCAATCCCCGGCTGAGTCAAAACTTTTTTAAATTTAAATCTACTAATTTGACTATTTCATTCAGTAGAATTTGACTAATTACACAGCCACACAAAAAAAAAGTGTCGTGATCTGTGCATGCGACATATGCTTTCCTATGGATTTTGACGCCCTGAATCCGAATCCGATGTCAGAATTTCTCCTTCAGGTCAGCGTTTCAACTTAACCTCAAAAAACGTGCACAAGTTAGTATTTTCTGTTCTGGGGATGAGGCATGTCGATTCTTATGTTTTTCGATGCATTGAATGTAAATAATCTCTCAGAATCGATCGCACACGTTGTTATTTTGACTCTAACCTCGAAAAAACGCAATGAAATGAAATAAACTGAAATTGTGATATACTGCCTTGAAGGCTAGTTCTTTTTTGAAAGCCTATATCAGCGGAGTCTCATTCTTACAGTTGACGTAAACTAACTTTAACTCACCTAACCTAACCTTAAATCACCTAATTTAACCTAAACTGGCCTTATATAACCCTTATCTTCTATCGCAGATTTTACTATTCTGTAAAAAGGTAAATTTTAACACGATAAGCAATGTCTTTACAACGAAATGAATATGAAACTTACTGTTCTCTCTATTTTTGGATTTCTAGAAGAATGGGTGAACATAATGATATCGCTGACCATTTTAGCATTTTTCGCTTGTGCCTGTAACCAGGGCACCTCCACGTGGTGACGGTGGGCAACGGATCCATATCGGCTGAGTCCCTGGGTAAACGGCGTTCATGCGAAAAATGCTAAAATGGTCAGCGATATCATTATGTTCACCCATTCTTCTAGAAATCCAAAAATAGAGAGAATAAAACAGTAAATTTCATATTCATTTCGTTGTAGACATTGCTTATCGTGTTAAAATTTACCTTTTTACAGAATAGTAAAATCTGCGATAGAAGATAAGGGTTATATAAGGCCAGTTTAGGTTAAATTAGGTGATTTAAGGTTAGGTTAGGTAAGTTAAAGTTAGTTTACGTCAACTGTAAGAATGAGACTCCGCTGATAAAGGCTTTAAAAAAAAACTAGCCTTCAAGGCAGTATATCACAATTTCAGTATATTTCATTTCATTGCGTTTTTTTCGAGGTTAGAGTCAAAATAACAACGTGTGCGATCAATTCTGAGAGATTATTTACATTCAATGCATCGAAAAACATAAGAATCGACATGCCTCATCCCCAGAACAGAAAATACTAATTTTTTCACGTTTTTTGAGGTTAGGTTGAAACGCGGACCTGGAGGACAAATTTTAACATCGGATTCGGATTCAGCGCGTCAAAATCCATAGGAAAGCATATGCCGCATCCCCAGATCACGACACTTTTTTTTTGTGTGGCTGTGTTATTAGAGACTGCTTTTTCTCTATGACAATTAGTCAAATATGACTTATAATTAGTTACTTTTGACTAATTAATTTTAAAAGAGTGAGTTTGCCGTGTAGGATTTCAAAAATGATTAAGAAAAGCTGCCTTAAATACGTCAGTGATTAAACGAATAAAGAAGCGCATCTGATCACGCTTTCGCTTTACCCGTAAATTGTTTCTGACACCAGTTTGGAAATACATTGAAATCAATGTTAATTAACTTTTAAAAGTCATTATTGCATTTTCTAAACGATGAACAAATTCCACTGGGTGGACTCATTGGCCAACGTGGAATTCTGGTAATATTTTACCACTATCTGGTAAACCATTATAAAAATTATTAAAAGCACCTACATGCAGGATTGCAATATGGAGATGCCACCCTATTACCAGCATTATTTGTTGCGGTAAATTAAATATGCGAATTATTTAAGTTTACTCTATCGCGAGAAAAAGTCGCAGAGGGAGCCCAAGTTGGCAGAGGATGATTCTTAGTTGCCAACCCCGCAAAACCTACATTTGGATTGTTTAGACTAATAAAATTTACCATGTCTGAAAAACGATTTATGTCTGTTAACTCCCTATCACTATTTATTTGACTATGTAAACCAATATTTAAGCCAGATTGCCTAACATTATTAACGTTATGTTGAAAATGTTGTTCATCGACTGGCCTTTCGTTCCGGAAGAAAGAAATTGGAATCCTCCTACCTTGGTTTCCTTCCCCGTATAGGCATCCTGTAGGCATCCTGGGAAGCCCATGGGTGTAATTTCTTTTTACTGCTCCTGTTAAGGGACTTACTTTTGCTTCTTGATCCTGATGGCTGCTTGCCGGCATGTATGACGACGTTTCTCCGTCGTGACGGTTTCTCTACCGGTAGCTGACCTTCGGCCGGTAGGTTTGACTCCTGCTGATTTTTTCGACGATTGTCGGGTGGTTCGTTTTTCATTTTCTTTTGGAGGATGTCCACCAAACATATTTAAGTATTCTTTAATCACGAGGTTTACGTTGGGTAGCCAAGATGTAGCGTAACAATCGGAGAGCTGTGGGTTTTGCTGGGATATTACAAAAAAAGAAACTCTTTTGTGGGGTGATTCGTTGCTTTTATTTCTTCAATTGTTACGTCTCAAGCAAAGCGCTTAAAATTTAAACTATTTTTAGTCTTACGTAAGTGAAAATTATATCAAATATATATTATATATGTTACGGCTAATGTGCAAACTTGGATAGTTTATAAACTAGCTGGATAGTTTATAAACTAGCCAAACTGTCAGCTATTTTAATTGAAAACATATTTTCAACTAAATTAGCGGCTAGTTTACAAAATAACCAAGGATCTTGGCTAATTTACTTGAAATTATTAGGGAAACTAAAATAGCTGGATAGTTTGTATACTATCCAATTCAGTTTGGCTAATATGAAAACAAAATTTCTAGTAACACAAAATAGCCAAGCTTTAGCTAGTTTGTAAACTAACCAACCAATTCTCTGGCTAATTTATTAAAAAAGTGAGGTTACGGCATTGTTTTTCGTTTTGCCGGCTTAACCGGATTTGTTTTGTGCATTTTAACGTTTTTAAAATGAATAATATGCAAAATTTTAACGCTTCCTTGTTAGAAAACTCAACAACACAACCCTACCGACAGCGCCCCATTGCTCCCCCCCCATTGGTCAAATGGTCAAAAATGAGAGAAAAAAACCCAAACCAACCCAAACTCAACAACACAACTCAACTGACCCCGCCCCATTGGGCCCCCCCCGCCCCATTGAGCAAAAAACCCAACTAAAATGGGCAATAGCCAGAGAATTAGTTGGTTACTTTACAAACTAGCTAAAGCTTGGCTATTTTGTGTTACTAGAAATTTTGGTTTTCATATTAGCCAAATTGAATTGGATAGTATACAAACTATCCAGCTATTTTAGTTTCCCTAATAATTTCAAGTAAATTAGCCAAGATCCTTGGTTATTTTGTAAACTAGCCGCTAATTTAGTTGAAAATACATGTTCAATTAAAATAGCTGACAGTTTGGCTAGTTTATAAACTATCCAGCTAGTTTATAAACTATCCAAGTTTGCACATTAGCCGTGACATATACAAAATAACAATAAAATTCAGCTTAAAATAAATATTATGTCCTTACCTAAACCGGGAAACAAATTATTAAGGTTATTAATATTTGTATCACTACAGAGGTACTAATACTTTAGCTTACGTATCGAAACTAAACTTGCGAGACGAATTAAAATGTCTTCAAAGTAAATACCCCAAAAAACCATGACAAAAAAACAAACAGTTTAAACAATTACAAGTAAGGCGTACGAAGTTAGGCAACCAAGATACCGAGATAATTATATCGGTACAGAAGGTTTCCTAAGCGTGGGAAAAAAACGGGGAAAAGTGTTTTCCCCCAATTTGGATGGACATTCAAAAAGATATGAAAGAAAATATTTGTGTTGAAGCAGTCGCATTAAGTTCAAATTTATTGCCAGAAAAAAATATCAAGCACTTCGAATTTGGCTAAACAGAAAAAATGTGGAAACAATAACCAAAGGTGTTTTACTCTGCTATTTGTCTGAGCTTTCAAAAAGTTACGCGCCTAACACACATTTCGATTATAAAAACGTCTCAAACTACAGCCTGTAGTCTACAGGATAATATGGACATTTCTATTATGATTAACTTCTCGTTGATGAACTTTTTAAATGATATGTAAAGCTTTTAACATTCTTAAAGAGAAAGTCGGAGCCCTACAGGCCAAAAAAGATATGATATTGTCAGCAGAGCAAAAACGCGTTTTCTTGTAGAATCTTCGGTCAATTTTTACTAAAGAAAATCGCAGTAGTAATTGTGGCAAGAATTTTGGCTATGGAAAAATTTTTCGACCGTAAAAATATTCGTGTTCGTAAAAAAACGTGTTTATCCAAACGCCAGCATTCGGCTCGTCGTTTTTGTTTTAACGTTTCATTTAGCGAGTATACAACTATTTAGCTGTAGAGTTACGGTATTTCGCATATTCCATGGCGCCCCATAAGTTGAAGTGGAAACACGAAATATTAAAAAAAGAGAAATAAACAAATTTTATTCATTTAAAACCATATCTTGGTAAGCTCCTATACAAATCAAGAATGTTGGTAAGGCAATATTTTGCATTACCATATCCTAATTTTTATAAAATATAAATTTGTAATAACCCTTTTCAAACGGAAAGCTCCATTGAATTTCATTTAAAAAAACGTTTCTTGCACTACCATATCCCTTATTTTTATAAAATATAAATTTGTAATAACCCTTTTCAAGCGGAAAGCTCCATTGAATTTCATTTAAAAAAACGTTTCTTGCAAAAAATGTACTATGAACCACCAATAATGCAATTTTCAAAGCTAACATAGAAGAGAAATTAGTGTGAGTGTGCATCACTAATAATTGTGGTAAAATTTTACATTTTTTTAAGGATTTCATGTTGGCAACGTATCCCTGGGGTAGACCATGGTTAGCCATTTGTTTTCAGAATAACCAACAGAGGGTTGCATGGCAACTAAAAGCGTTTTCATGTATGTAGATTACAACAGCAATCATTCTTAAAATTGTGGAGAGTATAACTTAGAATGTAAAAATATATTTTTTTATCATACCTGCTGTGTTTTTATCCTTCGAAATTTCCTGTGTAGCATAATTTAACTCTTGAAGTCTTTTATTTTTAAATTGTTCTAATGCTAATGACTCCAAACTTAAAGCCTGAGCTCGTTCTAGATCTTCTTCGTACTGTTTATCGTTGTTTGACATTAGTATATAATCCTAAAAATTCAATATATTGAAAAAAATTTAAAATATAAATGAATCGCTGATTGCAGAAAGGGTATAAGACAGTAGACACATAAGTTGTAAGAAACCGCAAATAAGTAAGCAATTTGTGCATGCATTAAAAAAAAAAGTTAAAACATAGATCAAAAATATTCTAGTTAGCAGCAGTGGCGGTTTACCCATAGGAGCACATGAGCACGTGTACCCCAATACAGAATTCAAAAGGAATAATAAAATGATTAATTTATAATATTTTTCGTTTCCGAACCTTCTTAGTAATTATTATCGCACCTTTCCCAATTATCTCGCTGAAACCGCCGAACCGGAATGAAACGAACCAGCTTTGATGACGAAGAACGGTCGCACGTTCGATCACAATTGTGCGTTCGATGATGTAGGCTCTGTATATTCTTAGCTTGCTGGTGGCGGGGGAATAGCGAATTTAATTTGAAAAACGCGCACACACTTAGTGTGCTCCCCAAGCAGTTTTACATGGATTGTATTGTTTTAATTTCGTAATTCGTGGTGCGATCCTGCGTTTAGGGATTTTATAAACGATTTTATTATTATTTCTGTGTTGCATTAATATTTTAACAATTATTATGAACAATTTAACGGTAAAGTACTGAGTAATGAGGCTGTTATTGACAAGTTTACTGCGAATATGGATAGAACAGTGGATTTTACGTTTAAGCACTACACAATGCACGCCTAGCCTCGATTAAGTTTAACCCAAAGGTGCTTGCACCTCTAATTTTTTTGTTTTACATGTTTTGTTAATGGTTCCTGATTATTTTAATGCCGGGTAGGAAAAAATCTGCTGAGCCGTTATTTAGAAAACAGTATATTTTTCTTTTTCCTAATAATAAATAGGTATTGTAACCAAATATACAAGCACACTGGCGATTCCAAGCGGCAAAGCTTGGTAGGCGCTAACTGTCATGTAGCTGTCAGATTGATTTTGTATCTATCATTTAATCTGTATGATTTTCTTAAGTACTTACTTGAAGATGTCCAAAGACCACGCAGGAACTCATGATGAGAATCGACTAAAGATTTGCTTACTGTGTTTCGGAAAAACTAAAGTAATGATTAAGATACAAGGTAAACTTAAAAAAGAAGTAGAAAATCTGTTTGATTACGATGTCCACGATAATCGTTTACCACTTGCTCTATGTAGTAGTTGTAAAAGAGATATATATCGCGTAAAAAATGGAATCCAAAAAAGCATACAACTGCCAATTTTTTCTGAATTGCGACCTGTCAAGAAAATTACAAGATCTAATGCCCATTTTCAATGTGATTGTCATGTTTGTAAACTTGCAAGAACTCCTAAAATTGGTAATTTTACAAAAAACGGTATTTTACCTCCAAGAAAAGGAATATTAGTGGAAAGTTTAAATACTACTACCTCCTGTAAGTATAAGATCCCTTAATTAATTGAGACCAACGTATCTATTTCTAATCCTAAACGACCGTGTTTCGAAAAACGCTGTAGTTCCTGTTTTTCTGTTATTGCAAGAGGAAAGACACATAAATGTAATCTTTCAACAAGATTTGATAACTTAAACAAGGAGCTATTAGAATCTACATCAAAATTTCAACAGCAGGTCATTTCTTCACTAGTAAAACAAAACATTAATAAAAAAAATAAATTAAAAACTACTTCACTTTCGCTGATTCAATCAAAGGGAGGACAACCTCTTACCGTTGTTGTTAATCCAAAGACAACTGAAGATAACGTTCAGAAAAAACAACTGCTATCAGTAGATGACTTTTTAAAAATACAAACAAATTTTAATCTTAGCCAAAAAACAACTTGTGGAATAGCAAGTGTTATTAGAGTAGCTACTAAAAACCGCAAAGTTATCGAACCCGACTTGAAGAGGAAAATTTCAAATAACATTCATTCCGTCGATAATTTTTTTGGAATAAAGAGTTTTGATTTTGTGAATATAAAGGCTAAGGTTTCGACTGATGCTAAAGAGCTTGTAGTTTACTGCAAGGATCTTGATGGATTCATTGAATACGTTAAGGAAAATCGACAATCATCTGAGGTTCATTTGAAATTTGGAATAGATGGAGGTGGAGGGTTTTTAAAAATATGTTTATCCATTCAATCAACTGAAAATGTGGAATTGGAAAAACATCGACAAGAGTACATGGAAGGAATAGCTGCTAAACGATTTAAAGACTCAGGTGTGAAAAAATTGTTTATTCTTGGGTTAGCGCAATGCTCACAAGAAAACTATGAAAATGTGTCAAAATTATGGTCTGCAATTAACATTAACGATTTTGAAGGAACAATTGCAACTGATTTAAAACTTGCAAATATTCTAATCGGCATCATGTCGCACAGCAGTCTTTTCCCCTGTACATGGTGTTACGCCAGAAAAGATAAACTTTGCGAACGTGGCACTTTAAGAAGTACTACTAACACATTACAAAATTATTCCGCTTGGCTTAAAGCGGGAGCTGTAAAGGAGAAGGCAAAAGAATACAAAAATTGCATTCATCCGCCGCTTTTCTCAACTCCCTTAGATAAAACGTTTTTAAATATTATTCCTCCACCGGAACTACACCTAATGCTTGGCGTTGTTAATACGTTGTTTACGCATATGTTAATAGATTTTGAAAAGGACGCCTTGGCATGGGCAAAACATTCAAATGTTCAACGTGAAGTAACTCATGGCGGTCCCGCTTTCAAGGGAAACGCGTGCAAAACACTTTTAGATAAAATTGATGTCTTACGACGAGATTGCAGCCTGGGCTGCCTAAAATTTGTGAAAGTCTTTGAAGACTTTAAAGTAGTTGTTAAATCATGTTTTGGTCAAGTTTTAAATCCAGATTTTAAAAATTTTATTGCGGCCTTCAAGAAGAGTTACCTGGAACTAGAAATTAGTGTAACCCCTAAAGTTCATGCAGTTTTTTTTCATATCGAAGATTTCTGTGATAAAACGCAACAGGACTTGGGCTTCTTTAGTGAACAGGCAATGGAGTCTGTGCATTTTGATTTTAATTCGGTATGGAAAAAATACAAAGTCTCCAAGAACCATTCAAACTACCCAGAGAGGTTACAACGGGCTGTATGTGAATATAATAGTCTTCACATTTAAGTTTTTTACCTAAATATGCAAACTTGTTACAATTTTAACTCTTGGAGTTGTATTAAAAAAAATATAATTACTTGACTTTATTTTTTTTTCCGCAAAAAAATTATTTTCTAAATGAAATTCAAAAACGGCTCAGCAAATTGTTTCCTACCTGGCATTAAAATAATCAGGAACCATTAACAAAACATGCAAAACAAAAAAATCAGAGGTGCAAGCACTTTTGGGTTGAACTTAATCGAGGCTAGGCGTGAATGATAAAATATAAGGAAGCATTTTGTTCTTTCTTTAATACATACATATTTCAATATTTAATCTAATATTTGTTATTGCTTTAAAAGCTTTTATTACTATTACTATTACTATTATTACTATTATTACTTTTTTAACCTAGTTTAAATAGTAGTCGTGCAAGCCACGAACAAATTCCCTGACGCTTTTTTAAATTTGTCTCTCATCATAGATCACGAGCCACCACTGTTTAGCAGTATTTAGAGACATTCTCATTAAGCACTAAATAATTGATGACCTCCAGGGCTCCCAGCAGTAAAAAAAAAAACAAATATAGACCAAATTATTTACCAAAATAACGATAAAATGGAGGTATGTATATTTTTTAGCGATAAATGATTCAACTTTGCATTAAAAATGCATAAAAAACAATGATGTAATAAATACAATAACACATTCAAAAAAATTGCTTTAGGCACAGCACTGAAACCAGTCATTTAATGAGTTTTCTTTTTATTTGTGGGCTGCAGCTGCTCTATAATCGTGTTTCTTTTTTCTAAATTTCGGGCCAGTCGACTAATCTCGTCCACTTCTTTTTCGGCTTGGTTTACTCCTTCAAACATTAGTTGAGCAATTCATTTTTTATTCTCTCTACCCTTCTTTAATCTTTTACTAGCCTCTTTATATAATTTGTCTGCCAGTAAAAGTTTCTTCTTTTCTTTAGCCCTTATCCTCGGCAATGTGTTTTTGTGGTCCCGCTCTTGCATTTTTCTTTTTTTATCTTCTTCTTTTCTTTTGCTTTATGTTCTTTTTTCTACAGTTCTAATTTTATGCATCTCTCCTCCTTCAAATGCAGTTTATATTTTTTGGTAAGCTAGCCGCGTTATTCTTTCGGTTCACTTGTAATTAACCATGTGGGATTTATTGCAAAAGATTTAAGTCCCTTTTTTATTAAAATAAAAAAATATTTAAAATGGTATAAAACCTGTAAAGTTGGATTTTTTAAATAAAATTTTAAATATGTCGATAAATTATAGTAGGTAATAAATTGCACCACTTTAAATTGAATTATCTTAAATAGGGGGGCCTGGAGGCGGGTGAGGCGACAGGAAAAACTAACTTTTTTTCGCAAACTTCAATTTAAATTCTGTTTGCGCCGAACTTGTTTATTTAATGTCATTATAAACTATTATAAATTTGGTGTGGGTCCCATGTCTAATAACTGAGATATTGGTATACATAAAATCCACCAGCCGCCATTGGGACCATTCCAAGCCCATGGACAGGACACATCAGAAACATGTCTAAATATATTCTTGTTACTTCCTTAAGTTTACTTATTTTTTCTACGAGTATTTATGAGAAGTATTAGCCAAATTTGGCAAATACTTCTCATAAATACTCGTAGAAAAAATAAGTAAACTTAAGTAAGTAACAAGAATATATTTAGACATGTTTCTGATGTGTCCTGTCCATGGGCTTGGAATGGTCGATTGGCACCTTATATGGAAAATCAATTTTTGAAAAAAAATTATTTAAAATTTATTCGAGCACATAATTTTCTCCTTGAAGCAATAGGTTTAAAAGTTGTAATTATTTTAAAACATATTTTTAGATTGGAAGAATGACCCAAATGCAGGGACTACATCCTTT